GATAATAATAATAATAAATGTTTCTTGAGCAGCAAATCAGCATATTAGAATGATTTCTGAAGGATCATGTGACACTGAAGACTGGAGTAATGATGCTGGAAATATAGCTTTACTATCACAGGAATTGATTACAATTTGAAATGATAATATTTCAAAATATTATACAAAATATTTTAAAAAATTTTTTTACTGTATTTTTGATCAAAAAATGCTTTGCTGATAAATTATATATATATATATATATATATATATATATATAAGTAAAGGCTGGTGTATGCAGGAATAATGATTAATACTGGTTGTACTTCACTAAAAATCTGTGAGTCCTAATGGTCTGACTGTTTTCTTTTTTTAGCAAATGCAGCAACAGAATCCTCAAAAAGTTGAAGCCAGTAAAGTGCCCGAGTACATAAAGAAAGCAGCGAAAAAAGCTGCTGAATTCAACAGTAATTTCAACCGAGAGCGGATGGAGGAGAGGAGGGCTTATTTTGACCTTCAAACACATGTAAGATGTGCTCGTATTCTTTAATCTGATTGTGTACTGCGGTGTGTAAAATGCATGTAAAACTGCTTTACCACCCAGAAAACCCTAGGACCTGTCTAACAATATCCTGGCAGCACCTAGCAATGACTCTGAACACCTAAGCAACCACTTATAGACCTTATGCCTGTGTTATACTTTCCGCGTCCGCGAGTCCGCTAGGGTCCGCTATGGTATGCGTGATGTAAAAATCGTCATCGGAGAGGTGTGCGCGAAGGCTCTGCGCGGATATCCGCGTGCCTCCCATTTTTTGGTCAGTAGGCTACTGCGCATGCGCTGGCTGTGTGAAGAAGCCCGTTGCTACTCGTACTGTACAATCCGTCGATAAAGCAATATAAAGACAGCCAGATGTACAATAACTCTGGGCAATTGTTTGTTCACATGTTTGTTTATTGTTCAAGCCGATCTACTACACATCATGCAGAGCAGACCATCAGCGTATGCTTTCGGTAGTATAAATACAAGTAGTCCGCGTCCGCGCTGTAAGCGTCCGGATTGCTCATGCGGAAAGTATAACACAGGCTTGAGTCAGGATAGAGCCATGTTTCATTTGTGATATGAATGAAAACGAGGCTGTGACAGATAGAAAAAAAAACCTTTTAGTAGACAAAAAACCCCCCCTCAAAAACAATTTTGAAAACACACTTTTTTTTCTAGGTCTCATTGCTTGTTCACTTTTTCGCTTTTACCTGTAGATTATTCAGGTACCTCAAGGAAGATACAAAGTCCTCCCTCCAGAAAGAACCAGGACTGGTCCATACCCAGTTGCCCTCATTCCTGGACAGTTCCAAGAGTACTACAAAGGGTGAATTCTATCCTCCACTGTACTTGAGAACAACGCAAGCCTTAAATTCGTTCCGCGTTCTGACTGGGTTTTTCTTGCCTCATCCACGTTTGTAGGTACTCTCCAAATGAGCTCCGCTACTTGCCCTTGAACACAGCTCTATACGAGCCTCCACTGGACCCAGAGCTGCCTGCCCTGGACAGTGATGGTGATTCTGATGATGGTGAGGATGGAAAAGAAGACGGCAAAAAAAATAAAGGTTCCTCTGTAAGTTGATTTCATGTTACTTTTTGACTCATTTTGACTCATTTCATGCAGTATTTTATTATTCATAGTGGAGGCAGGTGGTTAGAAGGGTTGAGAAATAAAAAGGGTTTTAAAAAATGGCAATTTAGATGCAAAAGCAATTAAGTTACATACAATTTGTGAGAATAAAGACGGAGCTTTTAAAAAAAAAAAACATGCATGGAAGACCAGTTAAGTGTATAAATGGGTCCATTTGGATTTCACATTCACTTTAAAGTGAATAAGAAACAATGTTTGCAATAAAATTTACTTTTGTAATCTGACATTTCCAAAATCCAAAGTGGTATTCAAAGAGGAAAAATGTAGGCTAGGACAAGTATTATTAATGTTAACTAAAAGTATTGCAAATCATTTCTGATCATTGAAATAATGCTGAAATCTAAATATGAATATATTTAAAACTTAAACTTATTTCAGTTAGTTGCCAAAGCAACATTTCTTTATTTTTAATTTTTTTTACTAAAATGACAAAAACTGAAATAGAAACTAAGGCAAAATTTACATATAAAAAAAACTAATGAAAATGACAAAAGCACATAATAAAAGTGCTAAAACTGAAACTAAAATTAAAACTAAAAAATATGAAAAGACAAGCTAATTCAAAATATTAATAAATACTCTATAGTAGTATAGCCTTTAACCATTAGGAATAAATTGGATCATGAAAAGTGGTCTCTATATGAAAGGGGACATCATCTATAAAGGGGGAAAAAATGACTCGTGGATAATAGGAAGTGTATTAAATGATTTGTTTTTTTGTTCACTTACAGGACAGTTCATCAGGAAACACTTCAGAAGGAGACAGCCAAGACAGTGGAATTCAATCCAAAGTCAAGAGCAAAGATGCCACTCCTCGCTCCGTCCAACACAAATCTGTCCCTGGGTACAAGGTAGAAGAAAAAAGCCCCTGATCTTTTTTTAAAATAACCCAACACCTCTCTTCTCCCCTATTCGCCACCCCTCTTTTCCAGCACTTTCAGCAGAGAAGTCCTCTTTCTTCTGACTTGATCATCAGTACATGGTCCAAACACACACACACACACACACACACACACACACACACACACTCTCCCCCTGGTGGTCATAGATCGGGACTGCACGTGTCAATGGAACTTGTTGTCCGGTTGAAGACTGGCACTCATTTTTTTCAGTGCCAGGAAACTCAGTGACAGTTCCTGTGTTCAGCACAGACCTTTGGAGCAATAACATTTTTGTGTGGTACTGCTGTTAGTTTAGGGCTTTTTTTGTTTGTTTTTGTTTTTTTGCGCGGTGTTGCACTTGTGAAGGTAAATACACTCATAAAATGAACAGTACTTCATATAGCTTAAAATACCTCTATTTATCTCGCTACCTGCCTGTCGGTTAAACTGAAGGGCATGTGAGCAGTTTAATTTGGCTGCTAAACACAAAAAAAGTGCTAATAATCCATAGATATGAAACGATTAAAGAAATATTAAGGGTGCACTCAGTAATGTTTTCCTTGGTTTACAAATGTATAATCATAAGAAAAAAAAGAATTGAATATGACTTTTGGAGAATGACTGAAGACTGCAGTAAAAAAATATTTTCTACATCAGGGGTCCCCAAAATCGGTCCTGCAGAGTTGAGCTCCAACCCTAATCCAACTTGAACCAGCTAATTAAAGTCTTACTAGGTATACTAGAAACTTCCAGGCAGGAGTGTTGAGGCAAGTTGGAGGTAAACTCTGCAGGACACCAGCCCTTAAGGACCGAGTTTGGTGACCCCTGTTCTACATGGACCGAGTCGTCTCCTTATTGGTGCCGCAATGTTGAGATCACATGACCAGCTGGGTGTTGCAACCCAACCAAGTTACTAGTAATAGCAATAAAAGAAGCACCAAGCATGTTTGCAGTGCTCAAGGCACATTTTCAAAAGCTCTTTTCCATTTAGCAGCAGCTGTATGCCAAGCTCCAAAGAAGATGAAAAAATATGAATTCATAAAAAAGGAATGAATTAAATTCACAAATAAACAAAGTAATATATTTGTAATTGTCCAATTTATTTATTTGTGATAACTTTTTTTTTTTTTTTTTGTGAGACTCCTAACATATATTTGTGCATATCATTCTATTTATTTGTGCATTGGTTTAATTTTTTGTGAATCTTTTTATATTTATTTGTGAATTCTAATCTATTTATTTGGATATTGCAAAACAATTCTGACCCCATTAAAAAAAAAAAAAACATGAAAGCACCATACAAAGTTATCATATGTCTTCATAAAACTTTAAAAATAATTATTCCAACTATTATAAAATGTCATTAATCCACGCTGATAGTCTTAAAGGGGAAGTTCAGCCAAACCTCTGTGAAACTCAAAAGAAGATATTTTGAAGAATGTTGGTAACCACAGTTTTGGTTACCATTGACTTCCATTTTATGGACAAAAAAGTCATACAGGTCTGGAACAACATGAGGGTGAATAAATAAAGAAAATGTTCATTTTTGGGTGAACTATTCCTTTAATATCCTTTAAACCAGGGCTGTCCAAACTCGGTCCTGGAGGGCCGGTGTCCTGCAGAGTTTAGCTCCAATTTGCCTCAACACACCTGCCTGGAAGTTTCTATGCCTAGTAAGAGCTTGATTAGCTTGTTCGGGTGTGTTTAATTGGGGTTGGAGCTAAACGCTGCAGGACACCAGCCCTCCAGGACCGAGTTTGGACAGCCCTGCTTTAAACTATGCCTTTAACCATTAAACAAACTTACTGAGTGCACTTTTAAAGTTAGCTTTATTTGTCAGCCTAGTGATGCTTTACTCTCTTTCAGGCATGAAATGGTTATCAAACTATTGTTTGGTATAACATTGTCAAACTGAATATCAGTGATTTTCTACACTGACTCTATGGGCACCTTAAATATGCTTCATATCTGTGTTTCCTTTGATTTACTCTGATTAAATTGTGTAAGTTGCTTTTTTTTTCTTGTCAAAATGCTTGCTGGATCAACAAAAGGTTTACCTTTACACATGACAAATTATCCACAATACAAAACAAAATTTATACAAAGTAAATTACACTACACAATAATTTGGCAGTGTTATATTACAAGAAATTATTTAATAACTTGCCCGCATATGCTTGCATTACATTTCTGCGTACTTAAATTATGCTTTGTGCAATAGGTGCATTTTTTCCGATGGTTTAAATTTTCTTGGTTGAAAATGTTCATTCTTCTCTAACGTGTTCTTGTGGGGAAAAAATGTTTGCATATTGTTATTGGACAGTTAAACAATTTTAAAATACACCCCAGCTAAAGGCTCATTTTAGCCCCATCTTTGTTATTAGTTTCCCTCGTAGCTGTGTTTTCTCAGGAAGTGTGAGCAGTGTAAACTGTCCCAGGCTGTTCTCCAGCAGTATGCATAGTAGGACGATTTTCTGTTTGCATAAGTATCCGGATGACCTGCTACATATGTCAAAGAATTCTGCCAGTACACTACAGTGCACACTGTTTCCCACAATGCATTGCACTCTAACGGAAGTCTGATGAATTCCAGAATGAAATGGAATTTACTTTAGAATGGCATAATATCCATTATTTTGCAGGATGAGAACTATACTGCACTCATATGTAATGTTATAAGGTCATGTGACAGTAGGCGCGTTTCCATTACGGATTTGCGCAAAACTTTGGCGATATTTTATAAATGTCGATAAAAACGTATTGTGAAATGACGGCGTTTCCATTAACCAATGTTATACGACTAAAATGTAACCTTTTGCCTCTCGCGATAAGTCATGGCAACGGATTTTGGTGGGATTTTAATGGATTTTGGCTATATTTATTCAAAGGAGGTGTAAACGTGTATCTTTACAGAAGCAGCACAGCGAGCCGCTTCAGAAACGTGTGTGGCGCGGCTGGAATAAACACAAGCATTGACTAGAGCTCAGCTTCAGTGGCCGTATCAGAGCCACACTGCACCGCAGACATGTGCAGTGTAAATTGTCTAAGCATTAATAGTAGGAAAGCCCCTTATAGCCTTATATAAAAACTTTTTTACGTTTTACGTTTTTACGAAATTGACGAGTTTCCATTGGGCGTCTTTGGATAAAAGCGTCTGCTAAATGACTAAATGTAAATGTAAATGTAAATCTTGCCACGTATGAAGTGTTTCTTGGAGGTTATAGTACATTGAAGAATGATCATATGACTTTTTACATACGCCATGTGACCTGTAAATGCGAAAAAAATAAAACGTTTCCATTGCAGTTTTGCGAATTGTTCCTTTTTCGCATTGCCTGAAAAACCACCTCATGCGAGCATAAAAACTTTTTTTGCGATATATGGCCGTTTTTGCGGAATTGACGCGTTTCCATTAGGCGTATTTTCAATTCGCAATTTCAATTTGCGCAATTTGAAGGGTAATGGAAACGCGCCT